ACAATACAGTCTTAAATTAAATTCAGTCTTAGATTAATCACGATACGGTTCAGTCTTAAATTAATAGTGACACAATTCAGTCTTAAATTAAATTCAGTCTTAGATTAATCACGATACGATTCAGTCTTAAATTAATCGCGATATGATTCAGTCTTCAATTAATCGTGACACAATTCAGTCTTAAATTAAATTCAGTCTTAGATTAATCACAATACGATTCAGTCTTAAATTAATCGCGACACGATTCAGTCTTAGATTAATCATGCTGCAATTCAGTCTAGATTTATCTTGTTATGATTCAGCCTTAATTTGTTTGAGCTAAAAAATAAAACTAGAACATTTAATAATCAGAAAAGACTAGAAGGAAAATAGAAATGTTGTGGAAACAAAAAGACCTTGAGAAAACAGAGAAGAACCAGACAGGTCAGGAAGCAGAATACAGACTTCATATGTGAGGAACGAGACTCAATGGGCCGGGGCTGATGAGTGAAGTGGAGACAGGTGGGCTAATGACAACGGCGAACAGGTGTAAGTGGGCGGGGCAAAACCAGGGAGTAAAGGCTGACTGTGGAAAAGGGCCTATAGTGGCTGGAATAAAACACAGATAATAAACATAAGAAATAAAAATGAAAATAATTCTACGATCTACGATTCATCACATTTTTCTTCTGTCTGATTGAAGATTGATGTTTACGTTTACCTGCGAGACGTTTAGTGCCCGTTTATGGTTTTAGAACCAGTTTTTGACACGTTGGGCTTAGATTAAAACAGACACATTAAAAACAACCCACTGGTCGACACCCGACAGACTCAAAGACGTTTTAGTGTGAAATCCTCATTTCAAATGTTCACCTGACTCCAGGAAGCCAGGTGGGACCAGGTGGGACCAGGTGGGACCAGGTGGGACCAGGTGGGACCAGGAGGGACCAGGCGGGACCAGGCGGGACCAGGTGGGACCAGGTGGACCTCTGCGTTCTGATTAACGTCTGTTTGGGGTCGTTCACGTGAAACCCCGCTGGAAGGTTTTCACAAGTTTTAGACCAAGTACTAAGTTGTGACTGTTTTATGTTTGCACAGCTGGAATTCTCTTTAGTTTTAGCTGTTTTGGTCTCAGGACGACTCTCGGCTACTACCAAACCAAACTTTAGCTCTAAACCTGTAAAACTGACTGAATTAAAAACATTTAGGTGTTAAGGTTGGTGGCTGTGGCAGCCATCTTGAATTTGATTGATTGGTTGTAGACGTTTGTCCAACAAATACTTGGAGTCTGTTCTGTGGTTCATGAGATATTTTGCTAACAGACTAGCAGGATCCTGGATCTAGTGCCAAACTTTAATCAAAGTTACTCAGTTTTAATTTTTTTAACTTGGTCCTGCTGACGCTCTCGTCTCCTCCTCGTGTCTTTGCAGACGTCCCGGACTCTCGGGGGACCTGATGGATCCTGACGGGCCCCCTGCTCCCTGCAGAGTCCAGCTGTTGTGGACTTAAACAAGTTCTGTGGATTCTGGTTCTTCTGACTGGACGTCGCCTCGGTTCAGCTTTTTTTTCTCGGACTGAGCCGTTGTTTTTTCTCCTCAGCTGCAGTCGATTGTTGGAATAAAAGGACTCTTGACAGAAACTGATCCAGGTTTTAGGGTCCTGATCCAAGAACCAGACCAGTTACCTTCAAGAGGAAAGTCACGGTGGAGGTCTTAGGACAAAAGAAGAGATTTATTTCAGATTTCTGCTGAATGAGGTCAAGTTCAAGGTTTTTCCTCAGAATGGATCATTTTATGAAGCGTTTTGTTTTTCACGACGTTTGACCTGCAGGTCCTGGAGAACTCCTGCACGACCCAGTTTGTATTTTTCAGCTCCCATGGCGGCATTTTAACATCTTAAACTTTTATAAACAGTTCCTCCCGTCGTTGAGGGGGTGGCGCTCAGCCGGTCACGGTCATGGTGATGTCACCGGGCACCTACACCTTCCTGGCCTGTTTCTCCGGCTTCTGGTTGGTCTGGGCGCTCGTCGTCATGCTCTGCTGTTTCTGCAGCTTCCTGCAGCGGAGGCTGAAGCGGCGCCGCGACGAGCGGCTCCGAGAACAGTGTCTGCGCTCCGTGGAGATGGAGCCGCTCGACTGCCACGCCCCCTCCGGGTGCCTGCCGCCGCCGCGGGACACCTGTCCTCCTCAGACCCCGTCAGCGCCGGTTCCTCTTCTGGTTCCTCATCCCATGCCACAGGCGACCTGGATCAGAGTCCCAGGTAACGTAGACAGTTCCTATAAATGTTGTCTCTCGTGGTTCTGGCCCACTTTTCTTTCCATCTTTGGGGACTGCTCGGCTCTCTGAAGGTCCACAGCAGATCAGTCAGGTTCAGGTTCTGGACGCTGACTGGACCAGTGCAGAACCTTGGTTCTGTTGTAGATCAGCTGTGTTCTGGATCATGGTTCTGTTGGACCCAGTTTGGTCCAAGCTTCATCTGTTTGACTCCAGAACTCGTTGGTCTCCAGAGGAGTTCTGGTCCACTCAGTGACTGACAGGAGCCCGAACCATCAGCCTCCACCGCCGTGCTGACAGCTGGGAGGAGCTGTTTGCTGCAGTGCATTCTGGGTAAATGCGTCCTCTGGTATGGTTCGGTCCAGAAGTCTTGTGGTTCCTTCAGATGAAATTTTCAAAACCTGTATCGTGCTGCCATCTTGTTTTTCGAGAGGAGAGGTCTGTAGCGTCGGAGCACTGCATGGTCTGACCTTCAGGGTGAATTTTCCTGCAGCTGTCTTGAATGTTTTCCACTTCTGGATAATCTCTCTGTGGAACAGATCGTTAAAAAAGGACAACGTTAGTTCTTCTCTTTTATATTAAGGATTACCCCCCTGCTGCCCTTGGGTCCAAATGAACCTGAGGCCAAACGGAGCTTCAGGGCTCGTTTTGACCCGAGGGCAGCAGCGGGGTTAAGAACACGTGGATTTATGTCACGGATGTGAGGACTCAGTCATCTTAAACTGTGTGGTCTCTAGAAGTTAATCAGTTCCAAACAAACCACCAAAGTTTTCATCAAGTCCATCCAGTTGTTCATGAGATATTTTGCTAACAGAGACACATGCAGGTACATGATGTTCTGCCTGGTTCAGATGCAGACAGGGAAGCAGAGGAGGAGGTTGTCCCGCTGGGCGTCACGGTAATGGCTGCCGCTGAGGCGTGGGCGGAGCAAAACAACCGGATTATACGGTAAAAACAAAAACAACAGCCAGAGGGGCGTAATCTGCTGTTACATTGTTATTAATCTGTTATTAATCTGTTATTAGCAAGCTGTCTGCAGACAAGAGAATCTGGAAGTGAGGAGAAATAAAAAAATTAACCTTTTTGCAGCAACTTAAACAACAAAACGTTGAGTTTTGTCAGAAAGTTTTAAAGTTTTAAGTCCTCGTGAATACCTGCAGATGATCGTCTAACGAGGCGACGCCCACAAAAGAAGGATGGTTGGACGCGCACAGCTCCTGTCAGTCGAGGACGAAGAGCCGAGACACTGAAACTAAAGTGCGGCTCACAAAGCAGACTGATGAAGAGCGTGAGGAAGCAGCAGAGAAAAGACGTGGACACGCTCCGACCTTTGACACGTGACGAGGACGGAAAACCTGCAGAGCCTCTTTTATTTCATGTGTCTCTTAAATAATTTGGCTACAAGAAGAAAATTTAAGATGCAACTAGTTTGATATTTGAAAGAAAAGAAGCAACAAAAGTTGAGGATATTTAGTTTTACCTACAGAAAAGTGACACTTCTGTCCCGGTTGTGGAGGAATTGGTCCTGTAGACGCATTTGAGGGTCGTACTTGAATAAAACTTTATTCAAAACAAAAGGCTGGCATGACAGAAAACCCAACAACTACGTCAGGATACCCCGGAGGAGACACGGTAAAACTGGACGGGACATAAGAGCCAAAAAGGCTCAACAGGCGAAGCTGCGAGAACGTCTCCATCAGGCAGCAGGTGCAGGAGAGACACCCCCACCTCCCCCTCAGGGTCCCCCAGGAGGAGCCGGAGAGACTCTGAGGAGAGGGAGGTCTGGGTTTCTCTCCTGGACCAGTTGGCTCCGTGACCTGATAGGAGGTAAAAGAATGATGGGAATAGATATTAGGCACCTTTAACCAGAAAAAAGTAGCAAAATGCTAGCTAAAAGCAGCAAAAGTTTAGCTATATGTTAGAAAAGTTTAGCAAGAAGCTAAAAGTAGAAAAAGGCTAGTGAAAAGTATCACAAGGCTAGCTAAATGTTTAAAAATAAAAGCTAGAA